TTCTCCAGGCTGAACACCCCCAGCTCCCTCAGCCTCTCCTCATAAGACTTGTGCTCCAGACCCCTCACAAGCTCCGTTGCCCTTCTCTGGACCCGCTCCAGCACCTCAATGACTTTTTTATGGTAGGGGGCCCAAAACTGGACACAGCACTCAAGGTGAGGCCTCACCAGTGAATGTCCCCAAAGAACCCCCTCTTTGCCCCCCACGTCTCCAGCAGCAGAGCCCAGGGCCCTGGTGACCCTGTGACAGACACAACGGAGCAAGTCCTGACACATCTACGTTTATTCAGGCGGTTCAAAGCTGGCGGTGGCTGTTGCAGCCATTTCCCTCCAGGCTCCAGCAGGCGGCCGGGGACAGGACAGGGTAGGACGGGGCTCCCACTACTCGTGCTGGGAAAGGAAAAAAAACCCCCAAAAGGGGCTTCAGTGAAGATCCTGGGCCTGGAGGCAGGGAGGACTCTGCCGGAGGAGGCCGTGGGTTGAAGGGCGGGGGGGGGTCCTACCTTGGAGGTGATGACCTCCCTGGTGCGGGCGCGCAGCTTGTTGACCTGCGTCTCGGCGATGTCGGCGCGTTCCTCGGCGTCATCCAGCTCGTGCTGCACCTTGCGGTACTTCACCAGGTTGGAGTTGGCCTGCTGCTCCTGGAGGGGGGTGAGGGAAGCGGGTGCATGGGGCACAGCCGGGACACCAGGCTCCCTGTGCTGGCTTGTGATCCTTGTGGCCACCCTGGGCCACCCCCAGGAAGGAGAGCACCGTCCTCCACCCCGGCAGAAGAGCTGCGGTGGGGACAGGCACTTACCGCCTCCTCAAACTGGCGTTTGTAGCTCTTGACCTTGCTCTGCAGCTTGTCGATCAGGTCCTGCATCCGTGTCAGGTTCTTCCGGTCTTCTTCAGCCTGCAAGAGCCCCAGCCCCATTAGCAGGACCCCACCAGACACTCCCCCCTGCCCAGCTCAGGCTCTGACTGCCCCATATCCAGGTGTCCTAGTGGTGCCAGGGCCCTTTAACACGCAGAGAGCACCAACCCAGCCTCACATCCCCTGGTCTACCACCAAGTTTAGGAGATGCCAGGAAAGAAGCAAGACAAAGACACAGGTGGCAGATGCTGGGACAGGTAGAAGCCCATCTGCCCTCGTCAGTCCCAGCCCCAAGTCGTCTTGCCAGAACAAGCCAGAGCTGGAGTGTTGGGTAACACGAGGTTCTGAGCAGAGGGAGAGCTGGGCCAAGTCCTGGTGGGGTGGAGCTGGGCTGAGCGCTGCCGTACCTGGTAGCTCAGCTCCTTGATCCTCCGCTCGTACTTGCGAATGCCCTTCTGGGCTTCAGCCATCTTCTTCTGCTCTGAATCCAGCTCTCCCTCCAGCTCCCGCACCTGCGGGTGGAGAGAAGCCACCTCAGCACCCTCCTCCCAACCACCAGCCCCAGCCGAGGTCAAATCCCTTTCCCCAGCTCAAAGTATCCACAGCCAAGGCTGAGCCACCCAAAGCAAAGGCACAGAGCTGGCCCCAGGCTTGTAGGTCCTCAGAGAGTGCCCCTCACTGCCCATGGTCCCCCGGTGGCCCAGCCTGGCCTCAGAGGGATGGGACAGTGCCATTGCCCTGCAGAGCCTGGTGCCACAGGGGCTGGGACAGTGCCAGGAGCCCAGCTCCTGCGTGGCACAGCCGGGGATCTGCCCCTGCCACCTCACCCTGGCCTCCAGCTTCTGGATCTGCTTCTTGCCCCCCTTGAGAGCAATCTGCTCCGCTTCGTCCAGGCGCATCTGCAGGTCCTTGATGGTCTGCTCCATGTTCTTCTTCATCCGCTCCAGGTGTGCACTCGTGTCCTGCTCCTTCTTCAGCTCCTCTGCCATCATGGCAGCCTGTAAGGCCAAGAGCACAGGGGAATCACCAACAAGGTCAGGCAGCCTTGCCAGACAGAGGGGCTCAATGGAGAAGCTCTGAGAACCACCCTTCTCCTCCCACCCACCAGCCCCAGATGGTGCAGGGCATCCTTGCCCAACCATACAGCACCATCCCCACCACACTCTTACATCCGTGATGGCCTTCTTCGCCTTCTCCTCAGCATTGCGGCACTCCTGCACCGCGTCCTCCACCTCGCTGCTCAGCTGGGAGATGTCGGTCTCCAGCTTCTTCTTCTGGTTGATCAGGCCCGTGTTCTGCGGAGAGAGCAGGGCAGTGCCACAGGGACCAGCTCTTCACCACGGCCACCAGTCTCCTGCTGCTCCAGGGCCAGCAGAGACCTGGGATCTGGTGGTTCCTCACCTGGGAGTGGAGCAGGTTGACCCTCTCGGTGGCCTCCAGCAGCTCCTGCTCCGCCAGCTTCCTGCTCCTCTCTGCCTGCTCCAGCGCCGCCCGCAGCTCCTCCACCTCCGCCAGCAGCAGGTTGTTGCGGCGCTCCAGGGCGGCCGCCTGCTCCTTCAGGTCATCGTTGTGGCGTTGAGTGTCATCCAACTCGATTTGCAGGTCCTGCAGGGCAGAGCAGGGTCAGTGGGGACAAGAGGGAGAGCCGGGGCTGGCAGCGGGGACAGCACCAAGCCCGTCCCACCCCAGGCCACCCAACCTTGATCTGGGCTTGGAGCTGGCGGCCTAGTTTCTGGAACTCGGCAGCCTGGCGGTTGGCGTGGCTCAGCTGGATCTCCATCTCGTTCAGGTCTCCCTCCATCTTCTTCCTCAGACGGACGGCCTCGTTCTTGGCCCGGGCCTCCGCATCCAGCGTGGCCTGCATGGAGTCCATGGCACGCTGGTGGTTGCGCCTGCGGGAGGGACGATGCATCAGCCCCATCCACCCGGGGACACCCACTCTGGGGCAGCCCTGTCAGGGCCATGGTGCCAGCTCAGCTCCCACAACGATGGCCCAGCCTGTCCCCTCTCAGCACACACCTCAGGTTCTCAAACTCCTCGTCCTTCTCCGCCAGCTTCCTGTCTATATCAGCCTTGACCTGGTTCAGCTCCAGCTGGATGCGCAGCGTCTTGCTCTCCTCATGCTCCAGGGCTCCCTAGAGACAGTCATGAGAAGGTGACCCCAGGGGACAACGGATCTCCCCAGCCATCCATCCCAGCCTGGCCTTGCCCCCCAGCCTGGATTTACGGGGAGCAGGGCAGGTGGAGCCACCCCAGAGTGCTGTTGGGGTTTCACAACCCCACTTAGGACCGTCTCTCCACCAACACAGCGTGGGTCACTGCTCCAGCACTGTTTGACCAGGGTGGGACGGGGGCTCTTGAGGGTAGTGGGCATGTGCATGCATCGGGGAAAGAAGGACCCACCTCAGCCTCTTCCAGAGCTGCTTGGATATCGCTCTTCTCACTCTCCAGGGCTTTCTTCAGCTTCTCCAGCTCGTGGATGGTTTTGCCGCTCATACTGATCTGGTCAGTCAGATCAGCAATTTCCTCTGGCAGGGACAGAAGGGTGTTCAGTCAGGACAGGGTCTGCAGAGCCAGCCCCATGCAGATGACACTCCCTTCCCTTTGCCCAAGGTTGGCCCACGTTCCCCTGGTCCCTTTGCAGCCGAGGTTGTGCCTGGGGATGAGGCACCATCCCTCATTGCTGGGCCCTGAGTGCTCCCCTGTGCCCTGGGTGAAGGAGGGGGCATGGGAGAGGTGTAAGGACCCATGGAGACCTGCTTCTCCAAGGTCAGCACCCCCAACCCAGTGTCATGCTGCAGCCATGGCACTCCTGGCAGCACAACATGCACCATTTGCACACAAGAGCCAGGTGACACTGGGCCTGGAGAGTCCCCAGCAAGAGG